CAAAATAACAGTTCATCATATCGAACTGGACTGTTCCTGTTGCAAAACATCAATCCATTATCACTATTCATGCGTTTCATACAAATTGGATTGTTTTCTAACTCTTCCTTTCTTGATCTTCCCCCATATTATGCTGCCAGACATTAAGTTGACGCTCACGTCATATACTACTTATAAGTAGCTCACACCACAGTAGTACTATAAATGATGATGCTAACATATTTAAGTGTAGTTTATATGATTCTATGAGTTCTTAAAATAGAAATTACAAAGTAATTTTAATATCACTATAATCCATTCTGAACAATATCATTCAAGATCTTAACAACAATCACACCGAACCCAACCTTTCAGTGTGCATCTGAAAGCACAGTTACTTACTGATCAACAGTCAATGGCTGCCGTAACTCATAACACATTCAAGTAAGTTAAATGAATAATGTGTAGATTAATCTAGAATGATTGGTGTTCTTTTTTTTATTTTAACAAAAGGAACTCATTATTCTAAATGTTTCCCAAAGTGCATTCATTATGCATAAAAATCTTGCATTGTTCCTAATGACTCCTCCAGAAATTGAAATTATATTCGGCGTTTAATGAAACAATAATATTGTCGATCAATTGTCCTTGTCAATTATTCGATTAAAACCTTCGTTATTTGTAGTTAAGTGTGTGCGTACACTGCTTCACTTATCACATGCCTAGCTTATCTTTGTCTGATTATGCATAGTTAGTCATATCTCAATCACAATGAGTTAGCTCAACTGGTCTCCAGTTCTCATGAACCTTCACTCTCTATGTTCTCATGTCTCCTCGCTGCGTCGCTCAAACAGATTTCGCCTCAACATGATATAGAGAAATTGAAATGAAGATTTATTTTTCATAGTATGGTGAATTGTTCTTCAAAATTCTGATCCAGAAAATATAAATTTTGTGATATACATCTCAACAAGAATAATATAACAACTATTCATTAATACATTTGTCTAATTATAATAATAATAATAATAATAATTGTCTAGTAAGAAGTAGCATGAACTTTTTTTTATTAAAGCTTAAAGTCCTCTCATACACTGACTGCTGTTGTTTTTTCTTTAAATGATGAAATATTTTCAAAATAATAATAATAATAATTCAGTTAATTAATTAATTAAAAAATTCTCATTATAAAATTATTTTTTAAAATCTTTGTCTAGTTTACACACACATATTTTGCGTGAAAAACAAATCGGATAACATCTCACTTAATTATCGAAATGTATTGTGTTATTCAGTGAAAATGAAAAGGAACACTGAACGATACAAACCGAGATATTAGAAAATTATTTTTTCTCATTAGTGTTACTGAACAAAATGAAAGAATATTTATAAGTCAGATTAGTGGGCTGGATTCTGTAAAGATCGATCGTGTACCGACTAGATAGTAACAATACGGATCATAGTGGAACAATCAATGGGATGGAATTCACCACTCTATATCAACTTCCTTGACTATGAGAAAGCATTGGACAGTATGGATAGGATGAGATTTAGGAAGCTTGTTTGAAACTATGGTGAATTTGAGGAGATAGTCAACATCATACGGAATTCTTGGAATGAATTAAATTGACAGGTCGTGCATGGAGGACAGCTGGAAAACTCATTGTTAAAATGGATTAAATTGACAGGTCCAATATCTGGCAAGATTGCTTACTCTCAACATTTCTCTTCCTTGTGGTGGTCCCCTGGATTATTCAAACTTCAACATGTGTTGGGAATCATGGACCGCAGTGGACAGGTCAGATGCAGCTAGATGATTCGGACTTCACACACCACCTACTTACTCATCTATCTCATACATGGTATCAAATTCAGGTGAATACGGTCAATCAAGTATTAGTTGGCGTCAATATACACAAGGGAAAAAGCAGGACTCTTTGATACCTCAAAAGAGTCGAGATAAAGACGCTCCGTTGAACATGAGAAATCTGATGGAGTTATGAATGCATGGATTGGCAGAGCAACGACAGAACATCATCTGGAGCTCAAAGCTAGTGCCTGTCAACCGACAACAAAGTCATAATTAACTATACAATCACCAAGACAATTCGATTGTGTGAAGCTGAAAGTTGAAGAACTACAAAAATCATCATTCAAAAGATACTGGTGTTTTTTAACAGTTGTCTACACAAAATACTGCGGATCAGTTGGCCAGACACCATCAGTCACAACCTATTGTTGCGGAGAACAGATCAAGTTCTATTCGAGGAATAAATTACGAAAAATCGCTGTAGGTGTATATGAATGGCATTGAAGAAATGGCCCTAATGTGTAATGAGGCAAGCTCTAACTTGGAATCTTTTATATGAGGTAGACCAAAGAACACATCACTCCGAGAACTGGAGGCACACGTCCAGAGAATGGATGTCACTTAAGAATGGCTGAGAAGTAGATCGCAGAACAGAGTAGGCTGGAGAATGCTAATCGGCGGCCTATTTTACATTAGATAAGGCATATCTAAGTATCCGTTTAAACTCTAAAATAGACGCAGGTATCTAACTGGGTTACTAACTAACAGCGCGTATTATATCAATATCAACTTCTCAGTTGAAATACTGATACAAAGCGAGACCTAAATGTTTATACACCACACTAGTCAATGAATTTGTGAATGGGCTGTGATATAGTCCGGACGCCGAAACCAAGGCAGATGGTTTCCTTAGGAGGCTATATCTAGAGCCTTCGTCTCAAAAGTCTAATCCACAAGACAACGGAGCAGCATCAGGAAATCCAGTCCTATTGTAGCCAGTCACCTCATGCTTGTTATTGGTTTGGAATCACGTTTTTCCAACTCCTGTAGGTGCATCGGTTGAAACGCCTGATACTCGCTTTACTCTACTCCGAATACGTGAACAACATCCCATCATGACAAGACAGTGGCTATAAACGTGTGACCGCATGAAAGCGAGAATGGACTCTCTACTCTTAGCCATACCATACCATAGCATCTGAGTAAATGCCGTAATAGATCACACAATGATACTATTGTACTCAGAAGTAAGTAAGTTCATTCCATTTAACCTTGAACGTGTGCTACAATAAAAAAAAGCAACAATAGAACAAAACAATAACACATTCCAACACAATAAAACAAATTGAACACAATGAACAAACATATAAGAACATACAGTTTATGGTGATGATGATGATGATGATGTTAAGTTTTGATCGATCAAGAAGAAAAACAATCGATGATATATAAATAATATCAGAAATCAAAATACTAACAAACATGTTAGTTTGTTTTTTTTGTAAGCATTTACGAATTCAGATAATTGAACAAACACATGGAAGAGATTACATGAAACAACGTGTCTGTGTCTGTGTGTGTGCGTACGAGCGCGCAGAAAAGAGAGAGAACCAATATGCAGAGGGAGGCAGTTGAATGTTAAGAAAGTAGAAGAATACAATACAATACAGGGAGCATTAGACGGAGACGGATGATTCGCTTGCATATTAATTAACGCAACACAACTTATGAAAATTTGGTAAATGCTGTCATATATATATATATATATATATATATATATATATATATATATATATATCATACTGATTGACACCTCGAAAAGGATAGAAATGTAATTTTGAAAAGAATTAATTGACATTGATAACATCATAGCAAAAAGTGTACCCATCAATTAAAAGATGTAGTATGATTGCCTCCTTCTAGTTTTTTTAAATAAGAAGAGATTAAGGTGACGAATGTCAAAGCGAATGTATATATAGTATATATATATATAAACCATTATATATTATGAGAAAACCAATAAACTTCATAACAGTGCATACGAAATTCATAACAATTAATCAAAGAAGTATGAATTCAAGATTCATTTTTTTTTTAAAAAATGACAACAACTCTTCTAGATTACACACACACACACACACACAATCGGCTAATTCACTCTGTATGCACAAACAACAAGTTGGTAAATATATCAGTCAATCAGTCAATCAATCACAAGATCACAAAGCGAACCACACACACACACACATATATATATATATATAAGAGAAAGAGGGAAACAAACGAGGATAATAGTTGATGAAGTGTAATACTCATTGTGTGTGTGTGTGTGCGTAGTAGTGTGTGTACGTGTACATACGTACGTGTAAATACACAATCCATAGTGTTTGCATTTTTCATAAATAAATTTATATATAATATTCCGGATTTGACTTATATTATCAGCAATATCATTATTATTATTATTGATCATGATTATGATTATTATTATTTCCGATGGTATTCAGGAATCACTACGACCGAAAAATGATAGAATTATTAAGAATAAATTGACAACATCCAAATATAATTGTAAAGCAGCGAATATATATTCTTCTGGGCTCAATTCCAAATCTCGTCCACCCATAATATGTTGTGTATCAAAGGCTAGGTACTGGTGACAACAAAAAAAAATACATGAATTTAAAACAAAACAATCATATATATATATATATATATATATACATATATAAATACATCGGACGGAAACTTGGAGAACCACGAAAACCATCATCCAAAAGATACAAGTATTTTTGTTAACAGTTGTCAACGCAAACTGATTTGGATCCGTTCGGCAGGCAGCATCAACAACAACCAAGTGTGGAATAGAATAAACCAGATTCCAACAGCGCAAGAAATTAGGAAGAAGCGCAGGCAGTGAATACGACACACATTGAGGAAAGCACCCAACTGTGTCACAAGACAAGCTCTCACTTGGTACCTTTAAGGTCAAAGGAAACGTGGAAAGCCAAGGAACACATTACACTGAGAAATGGAGGCAGACATGAGAACAGTGATCAACAATTGGGTGGAACTAGAAAGGAAGTCCCAGAAAACAGAATAGGCTGGAGAATGCTGGTCAGTCAGTGGCTTATGCTCCAATGGGAGTAACAGGCGAAAGTAAAATAAGTAATTTATCATATATATTGTTAGGTTGTAAGTGCAAATCTCACTCTATTTCTATTTCAGACACCATGAACAGTTCACAGTTGGATAGTAATGACAACTCAAAACCCAGTAGTATTAATAAATCTGTATTCAGTGAATTCTAGAAGTGAAACTCTACTACCACCCACCCCCATTTATACTGACTTTCGGAGTGAAATGACATGTCGAGAGTTATTCAGCAATGACAACAACACTTCAAAGCTTAAAGTATGAAAAAATGTTAGCTATGAGGGAGGAGTTGGAATTATTTTGTATCTAAACGAAACAGAATACGATTAGCTAGTTGCTATGTAAACGGTGATAACTAACTAACTCTACACCATAGACCAAGTCAAGTCAACAGCAACGTAGAACTTCGTAAGTATGTACATCATCAGTTCAAGTTGCCATACGACATTGGCAAAGAGATGCAAATGTCACTTCAAACCCCGTAGTAGTAGTAGTAGTAGAGGTAGTAGATATAATAGAAGTACACACTTTGTGGCTATGGCCGGTCCCAAACCCGGATATAAAGGAGGAGGGTTGGGATTTGGGTTGGCCACACTAACAAGAAAAAAATAATTCAAACCATATAAACTCTACTCTGGGAGTTAAAAGGTCTTCATTGATAAGAGTTATGACGTCTCATTGATATGAATGCCAAATTCCTTCGGAAGTCACAAGGTCGACAACCCTTCTGAAAACCAGAACCCTACCACAGTGTGGAAATCCGCCAGTAGAACCTTAGGGGCTACTGCCGGTCCCAAGCCCGGGTAAAGGAGGAGGGTTGGACATGGGGTTGGCGACCCTATTCCGTCGAAATCTAACTTGCCAAAAAAACGCTAACCAGAAAAAATAATCCAAACCATTTATACTCTGCCCTGGGAGTTGGAAGAAGAATTATGACGTCGCGTGATGAAAGCCGAGTTCCCTCGGAAGTCACGGGGCTGATGCCTCTTCTGACAACCAGAGCAACCATTTTTTTAGGTACATGGAATGTTCGTACATTGTGGGAGACTGGAAGACTATTTCAAGTTGCGGCACAAATGAAAAGATACAACCTCGAGGTGCTCGGCATCAGTGAAACGCATTGGACACAGGTAGGACAACTGAGACTAGCTTCAGGAGAACTGCTGTTATACTCTGGGATCACACTACTCAAAACCAGATTGATCATATCTGTATCAACAAAACGTTCAGAAGGACTATGAAGGATGTGAGAACCAGGAGAGGAGCTGATATAGCCTCAGATCACCATTTGCTAATCGCCAAAATGAAACTGAAACTAAAGAAGCACTGGACAACGGGGCAGACAACATCACACAAGTTTAATACGGCCTTGCAGCCTGGAAGTAACAACCGCCCCCGGTACCCATAGAAAAACACAAAAAAACACATCATACACCAATCGCCGCAAGTTCAAATTTCCAAATGCATATAAACTCCTTTTTTTTTATAGTGAGCATTGGATGACAAGAAAAAACAACCAAGTGAAGAATAATTCCCCCTCCTAAGTCCTTAGAAAATCTTTTTTTTTCTTTTCAACAACTACATTTGAAACAGAGACTACACGAAATAGAATGAGAAATGAAACTGTCAGTGCTTCTTACATCAAATAGCGTACACATTAAAAAAACTTTATGATTATAATCCAAATTATTGGACATGATAATATATATGTGTTATCTAACTAACTGCCTTGTTAATAATAAAGGCGACTTAGATTTCAACTTAAACGAGTAGATGGATGCTTCAAAAAATGTATTAGATTTGGCAATCATAGGGAGAAATGAATTTTTAAACGAAAACGCATATTAATACAGTTAGTTCATTAAAAAAAAAAAAAAAAACAGATATAAACATACCACACCAAACAATAAGGCTGCCAGTCCACCATAAACAATTTGTAAAATCTAATTTGAAGAAAAATTTCAACAACAACAACAATAAAAAAATCAATATTAACTATTTCAGTACTACTCTTTGTATGTATTGTATTGTTTCTGATAATATTTCTTAGAAAAATATCTAATCTATTGAAGGATAACAGAATAGTAAGTAAATTTTTATATCTGAGTTACTGAATAATCAAATACTACTGAAGATAGACACTCATGATACTATACTATACTATACTATACTATACTAAGCGCAACGGTAAATTAGAAGTGAATTATCATCGAATGGGAGGATAGTTAGAATATGTGCATTACGCATGCTTAATCATCGCTTTACTTTGATGCATGATGTCTAACCAATCGAGCCTTTGGCAAAAGCCAACCTGCGTCACTTATGGCGTAGGCGAGATATCCGTTTGCTGACTAAAGGACGAGTGTACTGCGCAGTGGTTCGCTCCGTCTTACTTTATGGCTGTGAAACATGGTCAATGAGAGTAGAAGATACTCGTCGGTTATTGGTTTTCGATCATAGGTGTCTTCGAAGCATTGCTCGTATATCGTGGGACAACCGAGTGAGCAACGCTGTTATTAGGAAACGGGTACTAGGTAAGAATGGCAGATCAATAGATGAAGTGGTGAAACTTCATCAGTTGAGGTGGTTGGGACACGTGTTGCGTATGCCTAACCACCGACTGCCTCGTCGAGCTTTGTTTTGTAGTGTAGGAATAGATTGGAAGAAAGCTAGGGGCGGCCAGACCAAAACATGACAGAAATCCATGAAGTCATTGACGAGTGGACTTAGCCATGTCGGTAATTGTCGACTACCTAACTGGTTGGGGTCCGCGAGATGATAATAATCGATGGTTAGAGACCTTGAATGACATGGCTCAAAATCGTTCGCAATGGCGCCAGTGCGTTTATTCTTTGTGTTCTCGCAAATTCTAATCTTCTGGATTCTTCTACACCACTAGTTTTTACTTTCTAAACTTATCTCATTGAATCATACTTCGTGAATAATATCTTCTAATTCTAACCTCTCCGATTACTTCTAATACCTTTACTACCTCTTCTACTATTGGATTTGAATTGACAATTATATCTCTGTGCTGATGTGGTATGGCGACATGAACTGATGTACTTACGTACGAAGTTCTACGCTGCAACTGACTGACTGACTGACTGTCTAACTAGGCAAGAGATGGCGATCAAATCAAATTGTGACATCACTACTTCATAAAGTCAATAATAACTATTGTGTACGTAGGTTTAGTAGATATTACCCCACTGGTTATAGTTTTCTAATGCACAAATCCATTCTTTCTTCACCAATAATCATACTATCTGTGCCCAATACTTTTTTCTATTTGTCTTGATAGATTTTGTCGCAATACGTCGCAATTCGTTTGTAGATTTCTTGTGAGACTGAATGGCACAAATCCATAAAGTCATAAAGACAAGTGGACTGAGTCATGTTGGCAGATGCAGACTACTACCTGATTGGGGTCCGCGAGACGAAAGTAACTGATCGTTAGAAACCTGGGATGACATGACTCAAAATTGTTTGTGATGGCGCAGGTGCATCCACTTGTGTTCTCGCAAATGTTGATCTTTTGAATTCCTCATAATCTCTATTTTTCTCTTCCAAATGTTATCTCACTGAATTATACTTCTTGAATCATATCTTCAAACCCTAATCTTTCGCCATCACTGCCAATACTACTGCGGTGTGAGCTACTTATAAGTAGTATATGACGTGAGCGTCAACGTAATGTCTGGCAGCGGAAGATGGGGGGAAGACCAAGAAAGGAAGAGTTAGAAAACAATGGAATTTGTATGAAACGCATGAATAGTGACAATGGATTGATGTTTGGCAACAGGAACAGTCCAGTTCGATATGATGAACTGATATTTTGCAAATGAACAATTTACGATATGGTTTTCCAATTTTACTGAGTAACTCTGTAATTTCGCTAAATACAATTCGGTTGCCCCACCTGTGTTCTCATTCACTACACTACTACTATCTCTACCACTATGGGATTTGAATTGACAATTGCGTTTCTGTACCACCAATGTGGTATGGCAACCTGAACTGATGTACTTAATTAAGCATGAAGTTCTACGTTCTAGCTGACTAACTGATCCTGCGCACAGAATGTAATTTTACACCCAGATAATTTAGTAGTTCCAAAAAAGAAAATAATGATGAAACCGATATCCTTGATTCTTCCCTATTACACTACTAGCCACAACAACTTATCTCATAACTTTAAAAAATGAGTAATCACTTTATTTTGTATAAACACACACATAATCTCAATATCTTATTATTACATCAAACAAAGTTTGGGAATTATGAATATCTATTATTATTATTATTATTATTATTATTATTATTATTATTATTATTATTAAACTATTAAACTAACCCAATTTGGTTTGGATACAGCATAGACAATCATACAAGCAATGCCAGTTAACATGACCACAATAGTTAGTACAAATATCAGCGAAGTACATTTAGTAATATCAATTCGTGTTTGTATAGCAAATGCAGATATAGCTATACATAGACAAGCTGTGATAATAACAGCAAATAGAACAGATTGTGTTTTATAAAATGAAGCAATTGTACCAGTCATATAAGAAAATGCCAATGTCTGAAATAAACAAATAAATTGAATTTAATATATATATATATATATATATATATATATATACACACAAGTAATGAGAACTGTAGACTGATATATAAGGTAATAATGAATGGTGTGATTATTGAAAAGTACTAAACAGATTTCAACTACATATATGACAATTAGAGTGTCAAACTAGGATCGACTAGACCAAAACATGACACAAACCCATCAAGTCACTGGACTAATGGACAGAGTCATGTTAGTAGGTGTATACACTACATGGATGGGGGGTCCTTGAGAATATAATAACTGATCATTGGTGGCCTCGAACGGCGTGGTTCGAAATTCCTTGTAATGGCGTAGGTGCATCCACTCGTTGTGTTCTCGCAAATGTTGATCTTTTGAATTCCTCATCATCTCTATCTTTCTCTTTTTAAAGTTATCTCACTGAATTATACTTCTTGAATTATATCTTCAAACCACAATCTTCTCCGTTATCAGTAATACTTCTACTATCTCGACCACTATGGAATCTGAATTGACAATTGCGTTTGCTGTGCCACCAATGTGGTATGGCAACTTGAACGTATGTTTGAACGCTCAAAGTTCTACGTTGTAACTGACTGAGTATATATCTATCACATAAAAAACATTTTCAAGTACATGGACTTGTGAAATATTGTTCCAAATAATTTTATGTCAGCATGGTGTATTTTCTATGACTTGATTTAAATATAATTGTATGAATTTGTTACTTTGTTTCATTCAGAATGTACTTAGAGACAGAGGTGGAAATCGAAACACACAACGTAGAACTTCGTACATGAGTACATCAGTTCAGGTTTCCATGCAATTGTCATTTCAAATCCCATAGTGGCGGACATAGTAGAAGCACTAATGGTGATGAAGAAGAGTAGAGTTCCAGAATACTATTGAGGAAGTATAATCCAGTGAGATAAATTTAAAACGAGAAAGATAAAGATGATGAAGCATTCTAAAGATTAGAATTTACGAGAACACAATGAATAAATGTACCTTCATCATTGCAAACGATTGTGAGACATGTTGTTCAAGGTGTCTTCTAATCATCGGTTACTATCATCTCGCGGACTCCAACCAGGTATTCTACACCAACCAACATGACTCAATTCACTTGTCACTAACTTTCATGGATGATTTCTGCCAAATTTACGTTTAGCCACCCTTACCTTTCTTCTAACCTACTCGTACAATACAATTTAATCACACAAAGTATTCTCTGTATTATTCACAGCAAACTGTGATTTTTATCCAACTTCACATACTAGATTAAGTAAAGTTTAATGAATTTATTTTTTTGTAAGAAGTATATGTTTGTTATCCAATTCGGTCTCCTGTGCTGTTACAGGTATGATGAGAGCGGATGTCACCTTGCGGCGCTGCCCACACCATGAAAGGGTGTTTTTCTTGAAGAACCTGGAAAACAAGGTAGATTAGCGTTGGTCTTAGAGACCTGGGAGTGTGACAGGTAGAGTTCAAGAAACAACTGCTTGAGACTACTCAAGCACGGCCTTTTCATAAAATTAATGTACAACACAGTTTTATTGTTTTTATTTTCTTCAAAAAAAATAAAAGAGAAAACACACTTACAAAAATAGATAAAGCGATAATATTCCCAGGATATCGTCGCCTTACACTAGGACAACAAACCAATGCGATGTAGGTGCACAAGAATGTGGCACTAATATAGAAAATAAAATAAATAAATGAAAAGGAGATGAAAAATATATATATATATTCAATTTATTGCACAGTAATTAAGAACTTCAAAGTTTATTTATAGACAGACAGATACAACGTAGAAATTCGTACGTAAGTACATCAGTTCAAGTTGCCATGCCCCACCAGCACAGAGACGCAACTGTCAGTTCAAATACAAGAGTGATAGCAATAATAGAAGTATTAGCAGTAATGGAGAAGATTAAGGTTCGAAGATATGATTCGATAAGTATAATTCAGTAAGATAAATTTAGAAGGAGAAAGGTAGAGATTATGAGGAATGCAGAAGCTTAGAAATTCATAGAACACAAAGAGTGGATGCACCTGCGACATTGCAAACGATTCCGAGCCATGCCGTTCAAGGTCTCTAACCACTGGTGACTTTCGTCTCACGGACCCCAACCAGGTAGTCTACATCTACCAACATGACTCAGTCTACTTTTCAGTGACTTCATGGATTTGTGTCATGTTTTGGTTTGGCCGCCCTTAGCTTTCTTCCAACCTACTCCTACACCACAAAACATAGCTCGTCGAGGCAGTTGGTGGTTAGGCATACGTAACACATATCCCAACCACCTCGACTGATGAAGTTTCACTACTTCATCTATTGATTTGCCATCCCTACCTAGAACTCGTTTCCTAACGACAGCAATGCTTATAAGGTTGTCCCACGATACACGAGCAATGCTTCGGAGATATCGACGATCGAAGACTAGTAACCTACGAATGTCCTCTACTCTTAACGGCCATGTTTCGCGTCCGTATAGTAGGACAGAGCGAACTGCTGCGCAGTACACTTGTCCTTTGGTTAGCAAGCGGATATCTCGCCTCCGCCATATGTGACGCAGATTGGCGAAAGCCAACTGAGCCTTCTGTATCCGTGCTGAGATTTCGTCAGTCACTAGGCCGATTTAATAGTTTGTGAAAAGAAAAAAGGTAGACGGATGGAAACACCACTGGTATATTAAACGCAGTCTTTGATTCAATAAACAAGTGTAATTGATAATTGATATTAATAGAACTAATTAAACAAGTACAAGTTTTCTCTGCTGAACACTTTAGTCACATTGTTTATGTGACAGTATGTGATAATTTTTAGGTAAAATGATTAAAGACAGGTTAATTTACTGATAAAAATGTTGTATTGTAATTTAATGAGCTACATTTTCTTTAGAAGGATTTGGAAGGAAGAACAAGCACCAACAAAACATAGCTCGTTGAGGCAGTCGGTGGTAGGGCATTCGTAATACATGTCCCAGCCGCCTCAACTGATGAAGTTTCAATACTTCATCAATTGATCTGCCATCCTTACAAAGAACTTGTTTCCTAATTTATTGATAATCTTTGATTGATTATGAAAACGTCAACATCTGGAAGGAAGCACGGTATCAACTGGACAGTTAGGACGCAGCTGAACGATCTGGACTTCTCAGGTGACCTCTCTCTTCTATCGCACACGTAACAACGAATGCAAGAGAAGACGACCAGTGTAGCAGCAACCTCTGCAGCAGTAGGTCTCAACATACATAAAGGAAAAAGCAAAATTCTCCGATGCAACACAACATGCACCAACCAAATCACTCTTGATGGAGATGCCTTGGAGGACGTTAACACCTTTACATATCTGGGCAGCATCATCGACGAGAAAGGTGGATCCGATGCAGATGTGAGGGAGCGGATCGGCAAAGCGAGGGCTGCATTTCTACAGTTGAAAAATATCTGGAACTTCAAACAACTTTCAACCAAAACCAAAATCAGGATTTTCAATACAAATGTGAAGACAGTTCTACTGTATGGAGCGTAAACTTGCAGAACTACCAAAGCCATCATCCACAAGATACAAGTGTTTATTAACAGCTGTCTACGCAAAATACTTCGTATTCGTTGGCCAGACACAATCAGCAACAACGAACTGTGGGAGAGAATAAGTCAGATTCCAGTGGATGAGGAAATCAGGAAGAAGCGGTGGAAGTGGATAGGACACACACTACGAAAAGCACCTAACTGCGTCCAAAGACAAGCCCTCACATGGAAGCCTCAAGGCAAAAGGAAAAGAGGAAGGCCAAGGAACACATTACACCGAGAAATAGAGAAAGATATGAGAGGTATGAACAAACATTGGACAGAACTGGTGAAGGAAGCCCAGGACAGAATTGGTTGGAGAGAACTGGTGGGCGGCCTATGCTCCATTGGGAGTAACAGGCGTAAGTAAGTAAGTAAGTAAGTTTGATTGCTTTTAACATAAATAACTTTTGACTAACATTTAGTGTATTACTACTTTAAGGAAATCTATCATTTAATTTGTAAAAAAAATGGTTAGCTAAATGATCAAAATTCACATTAGCTTACACACAAGGTAGTTTACATACAAATACTACTCAAAAGGAATAATAAGAAATGAGTACATTTGTCAATAAAAAAATTCATTAACTTTTTTTATTTGTGCACAAATAAACTTTATTATTCAAAGAAAATTTTTTTTTAAAAAAAAAATTAAACTTACTAAGATAAATAATAAAACCAGGAATTTTTTGCAACCCAACTTTTCACCGGTGATCTATGATGAGTGTGTTATTATTTTGTAAGAAAAAAAAATTGAATTATTATTAAGTATGACAGCTTACGCAAATAGAAAGACGCAAACAAATGCTGAAGTCACTAATAACTGAGCTGATAAAATTAAGTAGACCTAAAGAGAAAAAAAAAGAAAAGAAAAGAAAAGAGAGAGAGAGGAAAAAAACGTAACAACAAATGTTAGAAGGAGGATGTGTTGTGAATGTATAAACATGTATATAAATATGTACATATATATATATATATATATATATTTCGATCATAGGTGTCTTCGAAGCATTGCTCCTATATCATGGGACAACCGAGTGAGCAACGCTGTTATTAGGAAACGGGTACTAGGTAAGAATTTGCAGATCAATAGATGAAGTGGTGAAACTTCATCAGGTGAGAAGGTTGGGACATGTGTTGTGTGTATGCCTAACCACCGACTGCCTCGTCGAGCTTTGTTTTGTAGTGTAGGAATAGGTTGGAAGAAAGTTAGGGGCGGCCAGACCAACACATGACAGAAATCCATGAAGTCATTGACGAGTGGACTTAGCCATGTCGGTAATTGTCGACTACCTACCTGGTTGGGGTCCGCGAGATGATAATAATCGATGGCTAGAGACCTTGAATGACATGGCTCAAAATCGTTCGCAATGGCGCCAGTGCATTTATTCTTTGTGTTCTCTCAAATTCTAATCTTCTGGATTCTTCAACATCTCTAGTTTTTACTTTCTAAACTTATCTCATTGAATCATACTTCGTGAATAATATCTTCTAATTCTAACCTCTCCGATTACTTCTAATACCTTTACTACCTCTTCTACTATTGGATTTGAATTGACAATTATATCTCTGTGCTGATGTGGTATGGCAACATGAACTGATATACTTACGTACGAAGTTCTACGTTGCAACTGACTGACTGATATATATATATTATATAAAAGCAGAAACACACAAACCTTTCGAATGAAAGCATGTCGAATATATTTTTCCGAATATTGTAAACTAGTAAAATTTCCATTGTGATTATTTTTTGACTCTTGATCTGATGGTTCACCTTGGTAGCCTCCAGGTTCAGAGTATGGTCCAACTGCGAATCCAATATTGGGATAAGGTGCTTAAATGGAATTTTTTTTGAAAAAAACAAAACCGAGGACACGATATTATTATTGATTTTTTCGAAAAATATATATATATATATATATTCAGGTTTAAAGAGAGAGATATAGGCACATGGAATTATATTATGCTTGATGTGAAGAACGAGTAATCGTGTATATATATTGTGGATACCCGAGTCACCTTGGTATCCTGCAGACTCAGAGTATGGTCCAACTGTAAACCCAATATTAGGATAAGGTGCTTAAATGAATTTTTTTAAAAGTAGAGAGAAACCGAGGACACGATATTATTAATGATTTTCAGGCAGAATTTTGGAGGTTTGTGTTTTTACACAATTGAAATCATCAGTCAGTTATTGTTAGACCACCATTACAAACCCCGAAGCACTGGACGGCCGTTTTGTCCTGGTATGGGACTCATCAGCGATGAGCATCCATGACTCCTGAACCTCGCAGGATTCGAACCCGGGACCTTCGGTATTGTGCACGAACGCCTAACCATCGGACCACTGGGCCAGCATCCAACGGTGTTAATGTCTAACTCTAATTGATCTACGGATTTTGCGCCACCTCACTCATTTGTCTTTGGTAGTTTCTGCCTACACCCGACAGGGTTGAACTCCATTGGTCATGTCTTCTCAACTAGAACTCCGAGAATTTCCTCACGAAGCTACTCACTAGTGAGCACTGTTACGATATTTTCAGGCAGAGTTTTGGAGGTCTTACACATTTGAAATCATCATTAATGATTTGTTTGAAAAAAATATATATTCAGGTTAAGAGAGAGATATAGTCACATGGAATTATATTATGCTTGATGTGAAAAACGAGTAATCGTGTATATATATTGTGGATACTGAAGAGATTCAACTACTATGTAGTGTGTAGATATGACGAGGACAACAGTCAGTCAGTCAGTCAGTTAGTTACAACGCAAAACTTCGTACATGAGTACATAAGTTCAGGTTGCCATAACCCATCAGTACAGAGACGGTAGGTTCGGCTTTATAGTCGACTATTAGAAACAGAAGACTTGAATAGCATTTTGATATACTTGAAAAGGGATACATTTTGTTTATCTACCCCCCTTCCTTGAAGTTGTTTGTATTGTAGTGAATGAGAACACAGGTGGGGCAACCGAATTGTATTTAACGAAAATTACAGATTTACTCAGTAAAATCGGAAAACCATATCGTAAATCGTTCATTTGCAAAATATCAGTTCATCATATCGAACTGGACTGTTCCTGTTGCCAAACATCAATCCATTGTCACTATTCATGCGTTTCATACAAATTCCATTGTTTTCTAACTCTTCCTTTCTTGGTCTTCCCCCCATCTTCCGCTGCCAGACATTACGTTAACGCTCACACCATATACTACTTATAAGTAGCTCACACCACAGTATTATTCATGAAATCTTGCTTAGTTAACAATTTTAAAGATTCCCATTGTGAAAATTAGAACAACACATATAAGCGAACAATATTGTTTTCGATTAGATCGTCATCAGGCTTTACTCTAATAGACATGAATATTTATCAGTACACCTGTTTTCCTATTATCCACTTGAACTTTTGCCTATTAGATGTAGTTACGTAATCTTTTTCATTTCATTGTGATTATCACTCAAATTGCCTTGATTGGTTTAACATTTTCATATAAATATTCATGTATATTAGAGTAAAGCCTGATGACGATCTAATCGAAAACAATATTGTTCGCTTATATGTGTTGTTCTAGTTAACAATTCGCAAAATTAAAAAAAAATCAATCATCTGTAACATGAAATCCAGAGCATATGTGCATCAGCTCAAATTGTCATACTATATCAGTAGAATGGTATGAAATTATCAAGGTCAATAATAATAGGGTAGTAGAAAAGACTGGACATCGACAATAGGAGTCAAGAAGTAGTTATGCCCTAATACTATCAACTTATCAGAACACAATATAACTAATAATAAAAAGACTGGTCAATCTACATGTTAGTGTTCTCTTGTGCTGATCATATCATAAATTATAGAATTATATAAATGAGACTGTCTGTTGGATGAATATTTTGCCTCGATTTAGGCACCCAGACAGTAAGTAGCCCGTCCCAGACACCACCAACTCAATGATTTGTATGGTGGTGCCCGCCTCTTTGCATCAATGTCTATGCGCTGAAATAATAATAATCTTTGATAAATACTTTTGTATTCAGAGCTACTGTACACAAATATAAATAAGGTGTATACAAAAGATGATCAATGCAAAATCACCTGAATGAATATTAGAAGCAGTTTCATACGGCGGTGGAGGATCTCTTGAATAGTTCATATTTGTGACAAATGTATATTTTACTAATAATGATACAAGTAAATGATCACCGAACTAATACGAGTAAAATCTGCAAAACAAATTTTTAAAAAATATATACATATGAATAAATGTTTGAAAAAAAAATATACATGTAGAGTTAATTATTTTCACAATTACTTGTTACGTAACGATGCCCATCCAACCTCAACACAACACACAGACATACAAATGTAAAACATTTCCAGGAAAGTTCAAGCTTAAGTTACTACACTTATCTATATATAAAAGGAAAAAAAAATTAGCACTAGCTTCAAAATTGTTACGAAATCAGAAATAAAATATGTTCAATAAATATCCGGAAAACAAATAAGACAAGTCTTTTGTTAATGAATCATGCTATAAAATTTCTAATAAGTTTTCCTATCGTCTCATGAAAACTCAGTGAATCTAAAAATTTGTCTCAAATTAAAAAATCCAATCACCAGAGTAGCTGTTACCATGACGTGGTGGTCGGGCTTGCCAATTGTGATGACCCAACCGAACCTCATTGGCTGAAACATATGTTCCTGAAAGTTCTACCATGCTAGGCAGGTCAATTGGAGAACGATGAGACTAGAAGCAACTACTCAAGGTCTGAGGGCGAAGTCGCACTGCTGACTGTAGAGAGGTATGACAGCAGTAAGGTATTTTCCTCGGAAAACCAGCATCTCCAGCGATGCTGCCTTCGCACAAGGAGGGGAGGGGTTAGAAAAGGTCAACCTTAAAAAGGCCACATCCCATCTTACTTCACCGATTTCTCAAAATCGTTCGCAATGGCGCCGGTGCATTTATTCTTTGTGTTCTCTCAAATCCTAATCTTCTGGATTCTTCAACCCCTCTAGTTTCGACTCTCTAAACTTTTCTCACTGAATCATACTTCTTGAATAGTATCTTCTAACCCTAACCTCTCCGATTACTTCTAATTCCCTTACTACCTCTCCTACTATTGGATTTGAATTGACGATTACTTCTCTGTGCTGATGTGGTATGGCAACATGAACTGATGTACTCATGTACAAAGTTCTACGCTGCATCTGACTGACTTCACCGATTTCCGTCTCAGGCGGTAATGCCTTTTAAACAATAACGGAACTAATACTTTAAATACTACCACAAGATACAATGTCTTCGCCCGTCAGTTTATAATTTTTTTTAAAATCAAATCATATCTTATGGGCAGTGGTACATGATTGTGGCAGACGGAGCACATCACAGTTATCAAAGTTGATACAAGCTTACAACAATCAGTCAATCAATGAATAGCAACGTAGAACTTCGTACGTACGTACATCAGTTCATGCTGCCACACCACGTTAACACAGAGATGTAGTTGTCGACTGACACACACACAAGTCGACCAGATGTTTAAACATAACCTAAGCATTGCCGAATCGATGATCTCACTACTACTACTACTACCAAGTGTTTTGAAGAGATCCATTATCGAATACCTGGGATCTATGGGCAGTTGTGTAGTATTAGAGTGGACACCTGAAACGTTGGTAGCTTTCAGTTCGAATACAACATGTAAAATAAAAACTACATTATTCTTTATGTTTAATGACATTTAAGGTTTTTGTCATATTCAGTGTTTATGGTCAGATAAAATGAAAAGGTGATTACAATGTTGTGAATGCCATTCATTTATCATTTTGTCGCAGGTTTTGAATAGATCTAATTTAAATACACTTTAAACAACAACATGTCTGATATTGTTTTTATTCATTTTATTTACTTGGCCTGGGGTCGCCTAGTTGCACTTTCATTCACTAACTGAAGTTATAGTAAGACGATTAAGAAGAAACTTGGTTGTCGGATGCATTGATAACTTTTGAGTAAACTTGTGCAGTTATTGAGGCTTTCAATTTATAATATATATGGCTAAGATTCCTTCTCGAAATAACCCAGAGATCAAGATTGGTTTTTTTGTTTAGAACTACACAGGTCAGTCGGCTAGTAAGCTTTAAAACATTAATAAATTAACATATGACAGTCATGTTGCACTATCGATGAAATTGGGATGTTAAAATAAAGTACTTTAAGGGAATTCCTAGTGTTTAGTTGCCAGCAATGAAATGTTTGAAAAGTACACTTGATCAATTTCAGCTCAACTTCAAGTATTACAGAAGACTAGAATTTAATCAAAAAATATCAATGGAATATTAATAAAATATAACCACGAGAGGCTTCAGAAACCTCAGCTCAGTGACCCATGCCTGATCGTAGCTGCTACTTTAACGTGGAGACCGGTTTTGCCTATTGTGATGGCGCAACCGAGCTATACTGGCTAAAACGTATTTTCTTTTAGGTCCTATAATGCCAGGTTGGTCGACTGGAGAGTGACAAGACTAAAAACAGCAACTTAAGGTCTGAGAAAACTCGTACTGCTGAATGTCAAGGAGTGTAACAGTGTTTCCCTGGGCAATATAACTTTTTCCATAGGAAAAAGTCCAACGACTTTGAAAATGAACAGTATGTACGACTCAGGTTACGTACAACTTACAAGTCATTCAGTTAATTACAACGTATAAGTTCGTGGGTTATATTATTCAGGAAGTATAATCAAGTGGAACACCGTTAAAAAGAGAAAAAAATCATGAAGAACTGAGATTGGAATTTGAGAGAAGACAAAGAATGAATACATCCAAGCCATTGCAAACACTTTTGAGTCATGTCATTCAAGGTCTCTAACCATCAGTTATTATAGTCTCGCGGACACAACCAGGTAGTCTGCACCTACAAACATGGCTCAGTCCACTTGTGACTTTACGGGTTTGTGCCATGTTTTGGTCTGGCCATCCCCAGACACTACTTCATCAGCTGGTTTTCTATCCTTACATAGTACCATCTACCTAACACCAATATTCCTTAGCCGATTGTCCCAGCAGCAGTGGGGTTTTCAGATACACAAAGAGTAAGTCGAGTCGGTTTGGGTACGTAGCATACATAGATAGCACGAAATTTTAGAGTCCTTCCCAAGGAATCCTGTTGTCCTATTGGAACAGGGTCCGGACAATAAAAGCTCCAACAAACAGACAGATACAACGCAGAACTTCGTACATAAGTACATCAGTTCAAGTTGCCATACCACATCAGCACAGAGACGCAACTGTCAGTTCAAATCCAAAAGTGATAGCGATAGTAGAAGTATTAGCAGTAATGGAGAAGATTAGGGAGCGAAGATATGATTCGATAAGTATAATTCAGTAAGATAAATTTAGAAGGAAAAAGGTAGAGATTATGAGGAATGCAGAAGCTTAGAAATTCATAGAACACAAAGAGTGGATGCACCTGCGCCATCACAAACGATTCTGAGCCATGTCGTTCAAGGTCTCTAACCATCGGTGACTATCGTCTCGCGGACCCCAACCAGGTAGTCTACATTTACCAACATGACTCATTCCACTTGTAAGTGACTTCATGGATTTGTGTCATGTTTTGGTTTGGCCGCCCTTAGCTTTCTTCCAATCTACTACTACACTGCAAAACATAGCTCGTCGCGGCAGTCGGTGGTTAGCCATACGTAACACATGTCCCAGCCACCTCTAACAAGTAGTTTAGTGCGGTTTAAAGTGACCAGAAATAACATATTGCGTACGCAAATAGCATTAATGGTGTGAATTGATGAAGGTATGAGAGAAGTATTAGTCGTATGGGAAGGATTTGATTGTGACCAAGTCGGCCTCGTGTACTGTTAGGAGTGAGGGCGGATGTCACTTCCCGGTTGAAGGATGTTTCCTGATAAACCTGAAAAAGAAGTTGGGTTAATGTTGGTTATAGCGACCTGCGATCGTGACTGCGGAGTAAAAGGGATAACTGCTTGAGGCCAGTCATGCACAGCCTTGGTATGGGAAATTTTCAACGTGTTAACTCTACCCTTTAAGTGACCTTACCGCTGGAGACGGAAACCCCTGAGATAAGGTGAGGTGTGACATTTTCAGGGTCGACCTTTTCCAACCCCTTCCTTTCTTGCAAGAAGACAGTCAGTCAGTCAGATGCAACGTAGAACTCCGTACGTAAGTACATTAGTTCATGTTGTCATAACACATCGCTGCAGATGCTGGTTGTTCGAGGGAAATACCTTATTGCTGTCACACTTCTTTAGTCAGCAGTACCACTTCGCCCTCAGGCTTTAACTGGCTGCTTTTAGTATAACCATTTTACAGTCGACCTGCCTGCCATGGTAGGATCTAAAGGAACAAATATTCTAGCCAACATAGTACAGATGGGTTATCACGATAGAAGCTACAAAATACAATATAGCAACGTATTGTGCATAAATTAACCACAATCAGGGAACTAACCGGTGTTCAAAGACACTAAATTTGTCTAGTAGTATTGTAAAGATAGGTTAGGTATAAAAGTATGTACTATTTTTTTTAAAATAACCTCTTAGTTCAAGGTAAGCCAATTGCTGTCTTTTTACTATTTGTCAATTAGTGGCTTCAGATGTTAGAGTATCAGCTATACCTATATCTTTTCTGTGATCTGGTATGAACTGACTGGTTTCTTTGCTCTCATTTCTTGTTGTCTCGATGTGACTCCAGGTATTTGGCAATGCCCAAAAAGTGATAGACAGTTGAGTGCACTGATTCTAGTCAATTGTTAGTTGTATATGAATTTTTGTCCCGTGATTTGAGTGAGAACGTTTGGCTTGAGGCAGTATGGATTCTAGATGCCTCTATCACGTTACCCGGCTGGATATCAGTTACTTGCAATGCGAAAAACAAGAAAGAGAACATTCCAACGTTAAGGAAAGGACAAACGTCTAGGATAATATAAACTTAGGCCAATAAATCGATAGTGCAGATAGTATGTAAGGAGATAAGTGCAAAGACAAAAGAGGAAACAGAGATGATAAGTGAGACGTAGTGACTTTGTAATAGCGGCAAACAGGTTTCAAGACAAGCATCTTACGATAACCTTCAATTGAACAGCTTTAAAGTCAACTTAATAAAGGACGATATGAAGCTTCAAAC